TAAAAAATGTATAGACAGACCGTATTCACAGATGTAATCATCACGAAAAAAAGCGAAGAACTTTGCAAAATACTTCATACATAGATAAAAGAGAGACACTCATGAAAAATAACAACGTAGCGTGCTACAAGCTACGAGGCGCGTGGGGAATGCTACGGGGGTGCGGAGAGAATGCCAACAATTTATTGCTTCCCAACTCGTTTGCTTCCGTTTATTTGTAAAAGAACCGTCCCTATGCAAATTAATATGGGAACGAACAAATTTATGTTGTGACATACACACGATAAGCGTCATTTATCTTCATGTAGGCATGTGAATTAATTTAATTGTAAAAAGTAAGTTAAGTTATTAATATTAAGATACACTTATATTAATAATAGGATTAAATAATTTATGCTTAACACCTTTTAAATCACACGGATAACTTATCGTTTCTGTGAAATTTCTTAGTAAAAATCTTACTACGGCTAAAATTTATAAGTTTTTCAGGAAGTTACTTATATAATAGTAGTAAATAAATAGTTTAGTACTTATGTTTAGTACTTATATAAATAAGTGCTTATATATATAAATAGTACTAATAACATTGCATAATGGTTTAGTTTAATTTTGTACTTGGTTTGTGGTGAGAAAATAAAAAATATTATTATTATTGGGGGATATTTATTTGTTTTCTTGTGTGATTGGTTTTATAAATAAAATATATACAATTAATAAGATATATATTGCATATTCAGCGTGTCGTTACAACTGCGACAATAAATGAACACACATATAGAGGATAACTTTTAAAATTGTATTAAACATTTACGTTATTTAAACATCAAATTTTTAACGAGTTATTACATTTTCCAAAACTAACGTTTTTAGAACACCCTTACGTATAAAATGGTAATGTAAAGTTCATTTGTAAAGGCCTTAAAGCATATGATTGGGTTGAATGAATTTGAAAGAGATAAAACATACTGTTAGAAGGAGAGATTTGTAGTGCGACCTGCGGCAACGAATGAAAAAGTGTCTGAATTTATGAATCAGTCAGTTGTAGTTGTATAGGTGTTACAAATTTTGTTTCTTTTTTATTTAATTCGTTTGTTTGAAAAATATATTTTTTTAATTATGGTTTTATTTAACGTTTTATATTTTTTTATGATTATTGGCAAGTAGCGTTAGACGTTTATTAATTTATTGTCGCGGTTGTAACGACACGCTGTATAAATAAATATTATAAATTAAAATAAACATATAGACATAAATATTGTATATAATGCTTATATAAATAGGACCCAACCAGACGGGAACCCTCGGTAGGTGAAACCAAACGGCCGAGGGTTAGGTTGAAAGGGAGAGAAACCGGCGGACGAAGCGGGCAGCTTGGAGCGATCCCTCCCGGAGTCCCAGTCGCCTTAGATGTTTGGAGAGGCTGACTGGGATTAACCCATTGGCAGAAACGACTATCGGGATAATTTCGGTCGGCACACCACCCCACATGTGGGTCACCTCTTCAGAGCCAGGTCCAGATAATTTGTCTTCTTATCTGTTTCAGCTTTCACGAGGTTTTCGTCATATGGGATGGTAATGTCGACCAAAAATACCCGCGACTGTGCCCGGTCCATCACCACGATGTCAGGTTTGTTCGCGACAATCGTCCTGCACGTAATGATGGGCCGGTTCCAATTGAGCCTGGCGCGGTCATTTTCTAGCACGGCTTCCAGATAGTACTTGTAGTACGGCAGTTTCCGATCCACGAGGCCGTATTTCAGAGCGAGCTCCTGGTGTAGGATTCTGGCTACTAGGTTTCCATTTAGAATGCAAAATTTTTTTGTTAATATCTTAAATGAGTTATAAAATATTATAGAAAGTATTTTATTACTGTTAGTATCCTATATAAAATATATTTCGAAATTTATATTGAGCTGTACTAGTATTGTGCAGTGCTTAAAGCGCGTTAATCGAGGCAAGATCGGTCGACATTTATGCCATTATGAGATCGCCTGGCTTTTTTCTGGGATAGTTCTCGCTACTCTGCAGTATCTTCAGAAATTAGTGCAAATTAAATATAAAGATCTATTTTTTTTAAAAAATTAAGTTCTGTTCATCTGACCGCTAACAACATTTAAATAAAAATATGTTATATACAGTAGTTATATACGTTAGTAGTTACTTGTAGTGGCGGGAAGAGAATTAGTAACCTAAGATATGCTGACGACACTGTATTGTTGGCATCCTCAGTGTCTGACATGCAAGAGCTCATAAATAGATTAGAGGCCGAAAGCGGTAAACTTGGTCTTGCAATCAATCGTAGCAAGACAAAGTTAATGGTCGTGGATCGCGCCGGCCTTTTGTTTGGCACTCACAAAATTGACGGGATTGACACTATGGATGACTTTATATACCTGGGGTCGAAGATATGTAAGGATGGAAACTGTACTCCGGAGATAAAAAGACGCATTGGGATGGGAAAGGATGCTATGACCAAGCTTAATAAAATATGGCAAAATCGCGGAATCTCCAAAAACACCAAAATGCGTTTAGTACGAGCCCTGGTGTTTTCGATTTTTTTATATGGAGCCGAAACGTGGACTGTCAAGAGTAGAGAGAGACAGCGGATTGATGCCTTTGAGATGTGGTGTTGGAGGCGTATGCTGCGAATACCATGGACAGCCAGACGCACCAATCAGTCCATACTGTCGGAGCTCAACATCAAGACGCGACTGTCCACAATCTGCGAGCAACGGTTCCTTAGTTACTTTGGCCACATAATGAGAAGAGGAGACGAAAGCTTGGAAAGGTTGATCGTTGTTGGAAACACTGAAGGCAAAAGATCACGTGGCCGATCTCCAGCACGATGGACTGACCAGCTCAAGGACACAGAACCGTCTCCGAATTTCTGCGATATGGTTAGGACCGCGATGGACCGGAATCGATGGAGAGATCTCATTCGTGCTAGAACGACGACCGCCAACCACGATCATCAGACATGATGAAAACGACCAGAAAGAAAGATATACGTTAGTATGAAGCCCGGACACTGAGCTATGACGAGCACCAATGAAATCGTTAATTACAAATTTAAGTGCTGTCTTTAATCAGCTCAGCGGTGAAGGAAAATATCGTGAGGAACAACAAAAAAAACATTTCGAAGATATGTGGAGTCTGCCAATCCGCAGAGGGGTCGCGTGGTGGCCAAAGCCCTAATACCCTCTTATACAGAGGAGGCATTTGCCCAACAGTGGGACACATATAGGCTGTTATTTTAATGTAAGTATTGGTATTTATAAAAAAGACAGATACAATACTATTTATTTCACATGTAAATGTGGTTACAAAACATAATCATTAATTTAATATTTTGTACTTTTTCGTATTTTTTTTTTAAATCATTACCCTCAATTTAGGATAACATTATCCTGTGTTGCAAGGACGTTTTACATACATACCTATATGAGAAACAACTATCTGTGGGTCACACAAATAGTTGTCCCGTGTGGGAATCGAACCCATGACCCCCGACGCCGAAGCCTCAGCGACTGCGCCAAGGAGTCATATTTGTTATTTACATTAACTCGGACGAGAATGCTGGAGTCCCCCTCGAACAGACAAAAAAGTCTTTTATCTCACTAATTTTGTCAAAGATCAAAGTACCTTTCATCTTGTATTCCTTCGGTAAACATGTACTGATGGCACAAAGTACCTACATTATGTTCCCTTCTCTATTTTCAATTACGCGGATGACAAAACATTTTAGTTTAGCCCCGATGAAAAGGGCTGAATGTAATTAACCTTCCTTTTAAGTGCAACATGGAAGCGCGAGCAATTTACTTCGTTTTTGTACAATAAAAAACAATTTCAACTAAACGGATTTTGTTCAATCGCTTAACCGAAATAGTCTACTTATTTTTTAAACAGCCGTGGTTCCGAAATATATCTGATCGTTTAAAATAACCGATTTTGCTCACTGCTATGAAATTATCAATAAATAAATTCGAGTGCATAAACACATTTGATTTTGGTTGCCGGTTGGAAATAGGCTGCTGGCTGACTCTAGGTTTTATTATATAAAATGTTAATTTGGTAGCTAGCATATCAAGTCATAACGCTTTATCTTTCATTCTTCTGAATGGTCACTGAACACCTCCTAAACGGCTGGACTGATTTTAATGACATTTTGTGGGTGTCTTCAGGTCACTTCGTGAATGGTTTAGATTCACTGTTCGGTTCACTATATTTTTTTATAAGTTGTTGTTGGATTTAAGTGGTGTGTATAGGACAAAGTCTGTCGGTCCGCTAGTAATGTATATGTTTGACTTCAAAACGGAACGCGCGAACGCTTTAGCCATTGAATTATTGTTTTATTTTAATAGAAAGAAACGAGAATCAGTTCGGGACGAATGAGTACAGTCTGTCAACGATTATTAAAATATTCCTTTTATAAAGGTACTATTTGGGGTGGACCACCCTTAACATTTAGGGGGATGAAAAATAAATGTTGCCCGATTCTCCACCCTGGCCAATATGCACACAAAATTTCACGAAAATTGGTCGAGCCGTTTCGGAGGAGTTCAATTACAAACACGAGTGTGACACGAGAATTTTATATATTAGATTTGTGAACAGATGGCTAACAATCAGAAGGTAGACTTTCTAGTAAGAGATTACAACCACATATGACGTTTAATTTTTGTTTTAAATGCCTTTTGTATAAAGACTTAAAGATCTATATAAATTGTACTACAATTTTTACTGTAGCAACGCTACGCAGCTTTCGCTGTTGTACGAATACAGGCCTCATAGAAGACCGGCATGATGTGGATTAGCGCATGTATCCGGTAGTAACAGATGAAAAGATTAAGAATTCGTGAATGAGATAAATTGTTAAAACTCTTTTCTATCCATGTTTCATTCAGGGTTGGCTTAAACTTGGGCAATGGTACTTTCTTAAACGACACAGGCAAAGGTTCTCTCTTAATCGTTACGGCGAAGCGTTTACATTTTCCACTTACCATGAGTGAGGATGTTGATAGTCTCGTTGTGGAAATAGAAGAGGCTCCGGACGCACCCGCCCCAGTCCTGGAGTGGCCGGTAGCCGGTGAGCACGTACGGGTTGAACTGCAGGTGCTTCGGCATGTCGCGCCAGTGCAGCAGTTCCACGCTGTCCCCAGGGCTCCCCGCCACCCCGTTCTCGGGAGGCGCCTCCGCGACATCGCCGTTCAACTCCTCCGGTTGCTCTTTATCGAAGGTGCGCTCCAGCGACTTTTTCCTCTTCCTCGGGCCCTTCCCGTTCACTTCCTGCACCGAGGCGTCGAACATCTTCGAACACTCGTCGGGCACCGTGCTAACGTCCCTCATAATAGCTCGCTTCCTCTACTGCCGCGGCCGAGACGAGCGGGAGAGGACACGCGGGATACCGAGCACCGCGCCGGCATGACCCGTGGTCGGTTTTGTACGAATATCACAGCTAGAGCATGGAGTAGGCCTCTGATATCGTATCAAGCCTTTAGAGTGTAAGTTTTATTCAACGTGTTCAATTATAAGTTATGGGCGCGTGGCGCCCGTACTACCAATGGGGGCGGCAAAGTCGCTAGGTTAGCGTGCCACAGGGGCGCGCGACTGTCCGGGCGCCGCCGCAGACCCTATTTACCCCTTCCCCTTATCGCCACCCCTCACCCCTCATATTTGCGCACTGCGCAAACCCGATCAGCTGATTCCCGCCAGGACGATGTTCATTTTGCAATAATCGCACTACAATGCTCTAAACTTATTAAATCATTTTCGTTTGCATTTTTATACAGTAGGGAATAAAGTGGTCATACTATTTCACAGTACACTCTTTTATCCAGACCTATTTTACTATCTCTGTATCTATACAGTCCGAGATAAAGATATAATTATCATCCAATCACACTGATTCAGCGGCTGTACCAAGTTCAATATCTTTTTATCTACCTAACCTAAAAATGTTATCTATGGACGAACCATCAAGTCATTAATTTTTCCTTGTAATTGCATCAAGACATTTAACTCTTTTTGCCTCATTAATATTCCAAGATTTAATAATTTTGTGCACTCGCTAAACAAACGGAATACAAATAACAAGGTACCTACATAACAAAAACCTTTTCATTAATAGTTCGTAAGTAACTGATTCATCAATAAATTCAATAATAATTTTAGAAGTCATTTATCGATTAATGATTATATGCCATAATATAAATTGAATACCCAAATAATGTCATTATACAAGGAAAATAGAAATACTAACTATTCATAATATGACATTGTACTCATGTACATAAGTTCACCTAGATTAAGGAGCATTTTCGTTTTTTCGTTCTTAAACCACCATAAATTTAATTTAATAAACTCTTGTGTGTTTATAGCCACAAAGTACCTAAATAAATGTAATAAAAGCATTGTTAATTTGTAATACGCATAGATAATTCATATATACTGAAATTTAAAAAATATCTTTTTTGACATAGACGCTTGCGCCATCTTATGAAACGTAGAAATTTTACATAAATACATAGAATACGACGTACATACATATGCCATAATATACCCTCCTTGTTCAATAACGTTAATATAAATAGACTACAGCTAATTATATATTTGATGACAGTGACATCTAGGTATTTAAAAAAGAGATAATGAATCCGCAAAGAGTTTAGATACAGATAATACAAAATCTAAAAAATGTGAAATGTTTACAAGCAATGCCTTCTACAAACATATCAATTGTTATAATTTTTATTTCATTTCAGTGCAGTTTATATAAACTAGATATTATATTTTTAATTAAATACTGTTTCCTCATAATTATTAATGTATTTTGTTACCGTACCTAGCATATACATCTCAAGAGTTATTAAAACTGTTCAAATTTTTTTAGTGTTAAACGTAGCTGTAATTACAAAATGTCTAAAATTGAATGCTAAAAATTATATATACTAGCAATAACTAAACGTTTAATTGATAAGAATTATTATTATGTTGGCAGCAACCATTATCACTCTAAACCCTCACAAGATGGCATTCTAGTTTCCTCTTCAATGGTATAGAATTTTTAGATACTAAAGAAGTTTACTTAAAAATAAATACGTTTAATATAATCATTTAAATACAGTTTGCTTAAATACATCAATATAAATTTTTTTGAGGACTGTTTTTACAATGTATTTATAATAAGTGTTTTTGTTGACAGGGAACTAAACTTGAAGTGCGATTTACGCCAACGCAATACAACCAACTGTCAAGACTTGTGTCTTGCATTCGGATCGATGTTCGGCCCTTTACTGCGAAGAAGCATTCTACAGGGATCAGCATCGCGTACTTGGAATTGCCTAACTAATTTTACTCAACTACTTTGGTGTAAACTGAAATATTTACGTGAAATAAGGGTAAGTTTAGATTGTATTTTTTACTTTAGAAAGTGGCGTGCCTAGGGCTCCCCAGAGTCGTAGAACTAACATGGCGTCAACATGTAAATAACTAAATGACATCTATCGTTTATACATGGAAATTATTGCAAGTTTTGATATGATATTACGAATGCTTTCTTAGCGTTATTCAGTTTATTAGCAATAGATGTTTAAATTACACATATATTGATTTACATTTTCCTGCAATAATATATTTTGCAATACTACAGCTGTCTTGACTTATACATTATTTTGTTCCGGAAAGGTGTTTTCATTACACGTAAAATAGAAGTTAACACAGTTTTGCTATAGTGGGCATATGTATACACTAATTTTTTTTACTATAATTAGCGTGACACAAATATTACTTACATTTTGGTAAGCGTTGAATTAAATAGCAAAGAAGTCATGGGTAATTTTACTGTAAAGATAATCTTTAGTGTAGATTTTCTAAATTTTTGCATGCGGGTTTTGTAGATTTTCTCCTAATGTTTTTGACCAATTACCTATGGTCTAAAAAGTTTAATGTTTTTCAGCCTAAACCGCTTGGATACGAGTTTTGGTATCCTTGTTATGGTAAGTGGAGGTAAGGTACTTGACGTACTTACCTATTTAATTTTTTTATTATTATTTACCAAAGCGCTTTAACTATACTATATTTACAGACTTTTCTTTTTGTAATAAAGCATGTATTGGAATGGCTTTTAACATATTAATGAAAACTAGACCTTGAACAGCAAAAATATTTATGACTGAAATGTGCCTATACTAATTGTTACTGTAAAAAATGAAAAATTTTACAAGTATATTGATATAAATAACTTTAAAATAACTGAGAGTCTATATTATAGAAATATAACATAATACTTCAATGAAAATGGAATTTTACTTTTTATATTTAAATATCCCAAAAAACCATAACATAGAAAATCTATGTTATTTAATGTATAACTATGTACCTAACAAACAGTTTATTCAATAGATAACTGCACTGGATACTAACTGCAACAGATTTTTAGACAAAATTATGTCAATGTGGTATTTTATATTCAGACTGTATGTGCTGAATTTTGAAAAACAACTTTTGTTAATGCAGTAAGGTAATAATATTACATGTTACATTTAATGTAAACTATGCTGAAATTCTCTCTTCTTCCTAATTGCATTTTTGGTGCTGTCTAAACTTTACTGAATACTTCATTTCCATTTCACTTTGAATGTATGCTGTCATGTAGATAAATTTTTAGATATTTATCTTTAGACTTAAAACATAAATATATTGGGCTTTAACCATATACCATAATAATAAAGGTTTAAATTATATGAATGTTTCATTATTTTAATTGATAACCACCGACAGATATTAATTTATATAAAAAGTAATGTATAATATATTGATCTGATATGATATATAAGTCATTTTGGGAAAATCCACAGTGCCATATAAATTAATATAATAATTGGAATAATGTTAGTTAAACAATTCTTCTTGCAATTATTGCTCATATTGATGAATCTCACCAATATATTTGATACTACTACTATTGAAATAAATGAATACTACCCTGAAAATCACATTAGAGTGAAGTTATATAACTATTAGTTCATGAAAAGAAATTAACCGAAAACAAAATCAAAAATGGCTATAATAAAGCATGTGACCTGCACAATTTGTACACTGCATTTACATGTATTATTTTAGTGACAAATTAATAATTCAATTCAGCCCATTAATTCCATTGTTCAGACAAGTTTATTAAAATATATTAGCCATTTAATAACTCCAAAACATTGGTGTTAAGTAGTAGTTCTAACTAGGCCATAATAATCCTACATTGATTGAAAGTATTATGGTGGATACAATGTATGTTTTTCTTGTTAATTAAAATAGTTAACCGCTGACATACATTGCTACCTAACAGCATCAAACCATATTCCATGGTACATTATTTGATATGTATAGTCATGCATAATGAAATTTTTAGTATCACAATCTCTGTTTGCAGATGCCGCGGACACGCAGGAAGCATTACTCGTCGCATTCGAGGTCACCCTCTAGGACTTATGAGGCCAAAAGACGACGCATCGATGATAGTGCCCGCGAGGACTCGGGATACAGGAAGCGCAGCCGTAGCAGAGACCGTGACAGGTAAGCTATCACTTAATATTCTCAGTTGGATTACTGTTTGATATGATATGATTTGATACATATATGACCTTAAGGCTTTAGGTAAAATATTAATGTATAGCGAAACTTGTATTGTGCTTTATACCAGTCTGTGGAGGAGGCCTATGTTCAGCAGTGAACTCAAACTGGTGGAAAAGATGAGGACCTGGAAAAATTGATTACACAGGAATTGGCGTTTTCTATTATAACTGTGAAAGAGGTTTTCATCTATTCAGTCTCCCATAGTTGCATTTACAGAGGGCCTCATTAACACATACCAAAATGTAATTTTTCTGTAACAGAGGTAGAAAACGTTAGAGATATAAAAAGGTAACCCCAAAATAATTCAATATGTTTGAAATGAGTCATATTAACTCCCTCTAATTCTGTATACTCACCAACTATAGCACAAGTCCTGGTACCAATGAAACTCTTGATTGCAATTAAATTACATTCATGTGCGTAATGGAAATTATGGTGAGAAAATCTTATCTAAGAAATAATTGAAGATGTATGAAGTCTGCCAATATATAGAGGGTTTCCTGTGACAAATTTTTGCTCCATTAGTCTCCTGTCCCACAGCCTTTGCCTTGCAGTTGGACAAATTATATTCATATGGACTATTTACAATATATAAAAAAAGAAAATGCATAAAAAAGTCATAATTGTCTTTACAGGCTATTTAGCAAAATAGTTCGAGTAATAGAGGTAAAAATTTAACAAGCCTAAAAACTAATCTCAGTTAAAGGAGTATTATTTCCAGTAGTAGAAGTATTTAATTGTAGTAAGTATTTAATTGCAAAATTAATGTAACCCTGTTATAAATATCAGTGGCAATGGTATGTCACCTATTCAAGTTTCACTGTACGAAGGGCATTTTTAGTGACAAGTAGCATAATTTTTTTATTAAATTATTTTAATATGTTGTTTATTTTTTGATAAAATAAACAACATAATAAAATAATTTATATGTAATCTAATAATAATATATAATCAATTTTGTAAATATTAGTTTTTGATTTTTGAGGATGGATGAATCTAAATTTTAGTGTGTAAAGATAATTTCAATTCTTTAATTTTATTTTTTATTTTTCATGTAATCGCTAGATTATTCCAAAAAATTCTATTTTACACTATTTAGAAACTGTACAAAGGACTCCAGAAATAATTGTGTATTTCTTCAATTCAATAATCCAAGCGCCATCTATGCTCTGAAGTCTGAACATTGAAGCTCAAAGTGACTCATTAATGCGCCGTCGTTCCACCGTAGTTATTACTTTTTCAAATAGATGGCGTTGTTTCTATTAACTTAGTATTTTTAGAAGTTACATATAAATTAATTTGCAAATATAGACTGCACTATTGTGTGATAACCAATCGATCAAATAATTTTTTTGTTGAATGTGTGATTATAATGAAAAATTGTTGGGTTATTTGATTAAATTAATGGTATTCGAAGTTATTTTTAGGAACATATAGGGATTACCCATTTTATAATATTAAATAAAGTTACTTTCGATATTTGCGGAATAATGTTACTGTTTAGTATGTTCGGTAATGTTCCGTTATTACTGTTTCTCAATAACTAGTTTAGGTGGTCGGTAACACTAATAAGTACTCTCAAACCCTTTCATTCAATACAGGATACCAAACTTTCTACTTTCATTTACATTACTATGTAGTTTGTTATGAGTCTCTTTCATATTTCTTGTGGGTTGTAATATATTATGTAATTATATGTTATTGATTACATTACAATAACATAACTTCTATTTCTTCATACATTTAATCACTACTCTTTTGATATGTCTTGAAGATTTATAGTAATTCTGATCTGAATCTGATGCCAATATTTGTTCTATGAACTCTTGTGATACCATTAAATATATCTTAATTTTTAATCTATATAATCCATAACTAATAGGAACAATAAGATATATTCTATAGAAACTATTGAAGTATGTAACATTCATAGAATTACTGGTTTAATGGTTATGTAACCAGTAATGTTATTTAAATAGAATAATCTCCCACAATTATTACATAATAATGTGTGTATATATATATATATATACAGCAGGGAAGCATATATATATATATATATATATATATATATATGCTTCCCTGGGAGCTTCCCAGCATTTTTTGTTTTTATTTATTTACTCCTTTTTAATATATTTTTTTTTAAATAATTAAATTTAACTCTCGCGTGGGATAACATTCCCCGAACGGCAAGCATTGGGGTTGTCTGACAATTTGGGGCTCTTGGTGCTGTGCCAATTGGTCCGGCACAGCACTAATTAGATGAGAAGGACCAAAAAGGCCATAGTCGCGCCGGGGTCGCGGAAGATTGCGTGTACATGTTCCCCTGTCCCCGGCCGATGCGATATATACAGGTTCAAAGTGGGTTTTTAGTGGTTACTCGTTTCCGGATTACTTCCACATATCCCGATGCAGTGGCAGGGTATCCATAAAGGATTTATTCCCCGTGGGGAATGAAATATTTGTCGTGACAAAAAAACTGTAGGATAACATTACAACGTGTCTTCAACTTTCCAATCTGTTATAATTATTTGTGAGTCATGGAAAAACAAAAGAATTTCAGTTGCAATAGTTTCATTATTAGTTTACCTTTTACTGTGGCAACCACGAAGCTGGTAAGAGAGGTACACCTGACGTTTAGTAATTATCGCCGCCCTTGGACAACTACTAAACACTTGAGGTTAGCGGATACATTGAAAAAGTTGTACCCTTTTACCTCACCCATTAGGCGAATCGCGAAAGTGAAATACTTTCACTTCACGCGACTTTTTGTTGTTACTGTCAGTCCGTAGTACCTACTACCCCGGACCTTCCCACTGTTGCACGAATGAGTAGAAGCAGATGCGTGACCCTACCACAGTAAAACTGTTATAGTCCCATATTGTTTTCATATTATTCAATAATTATAAACATTTACATAGCTTATATTCGTAATATCCACGTGACCGATTGCGTACTTCAAAAGAAGCGTTTGTTGTTTACTGAATGTCTGCCAAGTTGCATCTGCCCGTCTGCAAATCTTACATCTATAATCCATCATCTTTAGTATCCATTATAAAACTCTTGGAATGTTTTGGGCGAATTATAAATAAAAGTATTTTAAAAATAACGTATAACGCCATAGAACCTAAACATAGAAAAATATTGTGAAGAATAATGTAGAAGTGTTTCAAGATGTAACATTTTTTTTTTTAAAATATTTCCCCTAAATTTATAAAGGCACTGTTGGCCTAGGGTTGAAGACGTCGACGCGTTCGTTCGTCAGTTCAAATCCTATTTGTTACCTACATGTATTTTTGGAATCTAGTATTTGTATATGTAACAAACATAAAAGAAAACCAAAGAAAATTGAGAGTTGAATTGAGAGAATCCTTTATTGAAGTTAGTAGAATAAACGTAACATGGTGGAATAATAACATATGATACACTTGTGTAAAATCCGGCGTGAATTGGAAATTTGTGCTTCTGCGTTTCGTTTGGTGAGTTAGGTAGCCGGGGCTCACTTTAAATAGAGTGGCAACGCATCTGCAACCCTACGGGTGTTGCAAATGTGTATGGGCGGCGGTTACCGCTTAACGTCAGGAAAAACTCGCCAGCTCGCTTGCAACCTTCTCACATTAAAAAATGTTTTAAATGAAAACATATATTTGATGATATGAAATAATCAACGATACAAAGAGGTGATAGCTCGTCATTTTGCCGTTTATGTAATATTAACGTCGGGAAAAACTCGCCAGCTCGCTTGCAACCTTCTCACATTAAAAAATGTTTTAAATGAAAACATATATTTGATGATATGAAATAATCAACGATACAAAGAGGTGATAGCTCATCATTTTGCCGTTTATGTAATATTAACGGTGGCAGTGTAAGTGCTATTTCATAGAAATCACTTCGTCCTAATACTAGACTCATTGTGACGCCAGAGACAGGTTAGTGTACGGTATTTGTAAATTGCTCGCGGCCATCCCGGGGCCAGAGGTCGCCGTTGCTTGACCTTGTTGCCGGTCTAGTCTGACCCTAGTGTAATATTTCTGGAAACTTCTTTCGCAATCTTATGTGTCTAATTATTGGCGCCACGAGAGCTTAACCACTTTGGCAGTGATAAGAGTGTTTTCAAAGTAAAACTTATACAGCGTGTCGTTACCATCGCGACAATAAATGAACACACATATAGGGGATAACTTTTTAAAGTTGTATTAAACATTTAAATTCTTTAAACATCAATATTTACAGGGTTATAAAATTTTCCAAAACAAAGAATTTTAGCACACCCTTACCTATAAAAGCGTAACGTAAAGTTCATTTGTAAAGGTCACAAAGCATATGAATGGGTTGAATGAATTTAAAAGAGACAAAACATACTGTTAGAAGGAGAGGCTTGTAATGCGACGCTATGGCGCGAGTTGTATAGGATGTTACAAATTTTGTTTCTTTTTTTACTTAATTACTTTGTTTGAAAAATATTTTTTTTTAATTATGGATTTTGTTCAACGTTAATATTTTTTTATGATTATTGGCAAGTAGCGTTAGACGTGTGTTCATTTATTGTCGCGATGGTAACGACACGCTGTATATACAAGTTAATTTGAAATACATGTTCAGAGAGTGCATCATCAAAGTTGCCTCCGTGTTGCGGTCAACGAAAGTTCAAGTAATGTAGCGCATGCAAGAGCCTGATATTTTTAGGAGCTTTTCATTTAAAAAATAGTTTCAAAGAAAAGGCTCCGGTTTATTTTTTATTTGCTTTTCGTTTCGAATCAAGTCGACGAATAAATAAATTTAAAATTAACTAATTACTTACATGTTTTAATGTTCTTAAGTGCAGAGATTAGCACTATACAAAA